ATAAATAAATAAAAATCTTAAAAAAAAAAACCCTAAACATTTACAGATAGGATAAAATGGTATTATCTACAAAGAAACACGAATAAGAATAACATCAGATCTCTTATAGGCAACATGGAATGTTAGAGGGTATGCAATGCTTCAAAGCAATGCTTCAAAGTTCTGAATCAAAACTAAATATGTACATAAAATTCCATATCCAAGCACACAATCAATCATGAGGGCAAAATAAAGACACTGGCTGACACGTTTATTCTCCATGTACCAGATATGAAAATATTGCTTAATAAAACATTTCAATAAATAGAAAAAGAAATTTAGGGAGAAAAACATGAGATAAAAGAAAGTAAAAAAAAAAAAAAAACCCCACAAAAAAAACAAAAAAACAAAACATGAGATTAAGATTCAGGAAAAGATGACCATAAAATGGAAAAAAAAAAGTATAAAATAAATTAAGGACAATCTATTAAAACTGATCTAAAGTATGGTTTCTTATTTCCAGTTCAATATCCCTTGCACTGATTTTGCAATCAATCCTTACTGCATTTGGAGTTCTGTTTAATTTCAAGTTATGGTTTTATAGAAAAGAAAAAGAGATAATAAAATATAACTAAAAATACAAATGAAGCCATACGTTGAAGCCAACATAGATACGTTGACATATGAGGGCCATTTTTTCCATAGACATTTTTTCCATGGTTGGTTATATCTATACTTCACTGACTCCTTTTCAATAATTCTTGTTTTATTTATTCCTACCTAAAATTAGCACATAAAAAAGGTGAAATTAATTTAAAAACATGAAAATTACTTACCTATATAGTAAAACATAAGGAATTATGAATGTGACTGATTTAGGAAGGAGAATTGTCTTGTAAAGATGCCTAATCCAAGACTTTCCAGCAAAATTCATCAAAGAGGAAATTATTGGTGCTCATTAAATCTAGTTTTTCTCTCCTCCCTCATGCCCCAGGAAGACCGCCCACCTCAGGTTGTTGGGAGAGGCCATGTGATTAGTTCTGGTCCATGGCTCTGGTGGAGGTGATGTTCCTCACTTGCAGCCTGGAGAAGAGTATGAGTGCCCCACATTCTCTCCTTCCCTGTTCATGGCAAACCCAGAAGCCACCTGTTGCCATGGTAGTGCCCCTAGGAGGTGGAGCTTCCATCAGCTTGCACCTCCGAGAGATTGTGTGCGGAAGAGGGGCCTCCCCTTCTCATGCGAACAGCATTGAACATACAGTGCGAATAAGAAATAAAAATTCCTTGTGTTAAGCCACTGCGGTTTCGGGGTTAATTTGCTACCACAGCATAATTTAGCCTCCCTTGACAGGAGCTCCCTGTGCCTCACAAATCATTTGCAAAAGTCTTTTGCTAAATTTCTTTAAGTTATGTTTAAATTTTTCCTGTGTAAACTGACATATACCCAAGGTCATTAGAGCCTTTTTTGAACACTTTCGTTGGAAATTGGCTTTATTAGGAAAGACATTGATATTTCTATGGAGTACAATAAACTAAGGAAAAATGAAATGTCTGACAACCAGAATACTTTTGCTCCCTGAGAAAGCTTATTCTTCCTCCTCCCTTCGCTCACTGTCCATAAACAATAAATGCAGAAGATTTTCTGAGAAAATGCCTCACTAATTTGTGGAATTAACCTCAAAAGACTTTGAGATTTTCAGCTAATAACCTCTCAGTTTTGGAATTGGATTCTGTCCCTTAGCAAGCTGTATCTATATTGTTGAACCAAAATTTAAGAAAACACAAATATTATTTAACCAGAAAAAATAATACCACAAATGTTAATCTGTTCTCTTGATAATTTGGAAAGCTTGCAGTCTGTTTCAAACCTCAATATAAGTATTTTTTCAGCTAGCCAATTCTCTCTCTGTAACCCAGTTGTCCCCATTCCTGTTCACATTGGTGTATTTTGTGCAAAAAAAAATTATGAACCTTCAGAAGAAAACATATGTGGTCATCTATTCCTTAACTGCCAACACACAGAATTTTAACATAGAGTTTATTTTAAACTAAGCCAAGAAATCCTTGGAGTCCAAGTTGTTTTTCCATTAGAGGTATGAAACTTGGCCCCACATGTTTCTGTTCTGGAAAAAGTCCATTGACGCTCTGAATCACCTGGTAACATAAATTAACATTAGGTAGGTCTTAGAACATAACCCTCATAGGCACAGCAGGAAAAAGGAAATTGGAAAAATATAACCCTGCTTTCAGAATGTATTCACTTAAAACTTCACAATATTCATTGCCCAGTAGGAATATGTCAAAATAATTAGACAAGCATGCTGTACTTAAGAACTCTGTGAAGTGTTGGTGGGAACGTAAAATGGTACAGCTGTTGTGGAAAACAATTTAAAATTTAAAATAGAATTAACATATGACCCATCGATTCCACTTCTGGGTATTTACCCACAAGGATTGAAAGCAGGGTCTCAACGAGGTATTTATACATCTATGTTCACAGCAACATTATTCATGATGGCTAAAATGTGGAAGCAACCCAAGCGTCTATCAACAACAGATAAATGGTTAAGGAAAATGTGGTATACACACACACAATGGAATATTAGTCAGCCCTTTAAAGGAAGGAAGTTCTGACCTCTGCTACAGCATGAATGAGCCTTGAGGGCATTACACTAAGTGAAATAAGCCAATCACAAAAAGAAAAATGCTGTACAATTCCACTTACATGAAGTACTTACTAGTACTTCAAAATTATAAAGACAAAAAGTATAGTGGTGGTTACCAGGGGCAAAGGGGAGGAGAAAATAGAGAGTTATTGTTTAATGGGTGTAAAGTTTTAGCTCTACAAGATGAAAAGAGTTATGGGGATGGATGGTGGTGATGGTTGCACAGTAACATGAATGTATTTAATATTTAATAAAAATGGCTCAAATGGTAAATTTTGTGGTATGGGTATTTTACCACACTTTTAAAAAGTGAAGAAAAATTCTCTGAAGAACTCAAAATAATCATGGGACCAGAAATGTAGGTACCTGTAAGTAAGAACTAAATATGAACTGTCTGCTCTCAAGGTGACTTAGCTAGTACAAACTCAGACCATCTGAGTTCAGAGACTGTCATTTTCACCACTATGCTGTCTCTGATTTTGTTCAGTGCGAGAATTTCTATAATGCTTAGCAAAACTCAGATTATCTAATCTGGTCATTGGCTGAGTATCTTCTTCCATAAGAATTATCAAGTTTTATATTACAAAAGACCACAGAGTTCGTCTTACCTAGTCTTTCCACCAATGCAAGGTTCCCTCATAACATACCTCTTCTCTGACAACAAGCCAGGCTCTTTCTAGATACCTTTGATAACGAGGAGGCCCCTAATCTGAGGATCAGAAGTGTTTTGCTAGAAAAGGTACTTGACAACTTTTAGAGATGGCAAAATCCACCAATGTTTGTCAATACCTTTCAGTAACCAGTTTGCAAACCATCAACAAAAAGTGTAAGTATGAAAAGTATCACTTAAAATTCCTCAATGAAACATCAAATGTTATGGTGAATAAAGTGTTCTTTACCATAGAAGGCAATGTGAGAGTATTATTGACTTGAGTCACACAATCTGTCTCATGAATAAATGCATATCTTAAGTACACCCATGTTGAAACAATTGGACTTTATGTGTTTGAAGACATCTAAACAGCAAATGTATGCACCAAAACTAATTTTTTTTGTCAGTGAGTTGGACAAACAACCAATGGGTTTTAACAACTACAGAAGGAAAAGAGAGAGCAATGCTCACCAAAAAGAATGGAGGTGACTAATGGATCATGGATAGCAATGTTTCAAAGACAGTTGCAATATAATTGGGAGTGGTAGAAAGTGCATACCAGGGGCAATAATGATTGTTATTATCATGGTTTGGCTCATAGAAAAATAATAGCACATTTAAGTGCTATTGATACTAATTTAATGATGCACTAATATTTTCTGAAAAATTACCAGACTTTCAGTAACATCCATAGAGTCACACACTCAAAAAATGTGTCCTTGATAGATAGGTGTGAAAGAATGCTTCCCTTGTTAGGGCACCTAGGTGGCTCAATGAGTTAAGCACCCAATTCTTGATTTTGGCTCCGGTCATGATCTTAGGGTCTTGAGATCAAGCCCTACATCAGGCTTTACACTGGGCGTGGAGCCTGCTCAAGATTCTCTCTCTCCATCTCCCTCTGTCCCTCCACCTCTACTCATGCTCTCTCTCTCTCTCTCTCAAAAAAAAAAAAAAAGAAAAGAAAAGAAAATGAAATTGTTTCTCTTGCATTCCCCAGCAGGCTTAGAATTGTATTTTATCTTAAAAAAGAGTTAAACCAAACAAGAGATGGATGTCCCAGTCAGGAACTAAGACATATAATAATTCTTTTTAAGTTATTTTATAAATATAAAATCAAAGGAATAATGAGAAGAATTAGACACATATTCAAAAAACTCCAGTCTTGCCTAGATCATTAGTGATGAACTTTAAAGGCAAGAACATCTTAAGATTGTTTTACTTTTATATTATAATAACTAAATATAAATATTTTATTTGAATCAGGAGTAAATTTAGATCAGTAAATGCCTCATTTCTAGAGCATTCAATTTGCATTTGGGCATCAAAACACATACTTGCTTATAAATAAATCCTTCACATAATTATACTTCTATGGTACTTTGATAGTTATGGTATGTTCCTGACCACCGAGGGGGTCAAAAAAGATCATTCTATATATAAATTGTTTTACTAAACAACCCTCCCACTGAAAAGTAATTACCACCAAGAATCCATTTTCAAGGGAAATACAGAGGAACAAACATAGTTTGTTATTTATTAATACTATTAGCTTCCCTCTGCATTAATCCTAGCCTAAGGATAAATATACCTAGTCTATTACAGTTTAGTTCACAGATTAGAATGACAAAGTGAAGTACAGACCCTTCAGGTCATAAATATCACTAAAAGAAAGAATTAATTTTGAAGAATTTTCAATTACATACCAAAAAGCTATGAGTGTCCTTGTTCCAGGTCTGTTGCCTCTGATCTGTACAAGAAAAAGACAAGAAAGGGATCATGAGGTTTCTGCTTGGACCTCACTACCTAGAAGGAAGTCAGAATCTTACCACATCACCCCTGAGAAGAGGCAACAAAATAGTAACTTGCCCATCATAAAAACTACCCAATGTCTCTCTTGGAAAATGAGACAGAAAGTTCTATCTCACAGGAAAGAAGGTCTAGGTATAAACTAGCAGGAAATCATTAAGCTGAGATCCCTTGGAATTGAATGTTTTCTAAACGATAGTGTGAAAATAATGTTCAAATCCCTTTGAACACTACTCAAGATATATTTTTACTTTATTTTTAAATATCTTGAAAGATGTTCACATGGATTTAGAACTTCCATCTGTTTTCCTGGAATTCTGTCAGTGGGAAAATGTTTCGTATTAGTAATAATCATCCCACTCATTGCCTAAACCATAAGTTTAAAAAATACAGATTTTTTAAGACTTCATTTTTTAAGAGCAGTTTTAGGTTTATAGTAAAATTGAGAGGAAGGTACAGAGATGTCTCCTATACCCCCTGCCCCCACATGTGCATAGCACCCCCCCCCATTATCAACATCACTCACCAGAATGGTATATTTTTTACCAAGGATGAACCTACACTGACACATCATAATTAGCTAAAGTCCATAATATACCTTACAGTTCACTGTTGGTGCTGTACATTCTATGTTTATAGAAAAAATGTACAGTGACATGTATCTATCATTATAATATCATATGATATAATATCATAGTATTTTCATTGCCCTAAAAGTCCTCAGTGCTCTGCATATTCATTTCTCCCATCCCAAGCAACCACTGAACTTTTTACTGTCTCCATAGTTTTGCTTTTTCCAGAATGTCATATGGCTGGAATCATACAGTATGTAGCCTTCTCAGATGGGCTTCTTTCACTTAGTAATATGCATTAAAATTTCCTTTATGTCTTGTCATAGCTTGATAACATATTTCTTTTTAGCACTAAATAATATTCCATTGTCTGAATGTATCAATTTCTTTATCCATTCACCTACTGAAGGACATCTTGGTTGCTTCCAAGTTTTAGCAATTGTGAATAAGCTGCTATAAATACCCATGTGCAGATTTTTGTATGGACGTAAGTTTTCAACTCCTTTGGGTAAATACCAAGAAGCATGATTGCTGAGCTAGCTATATGGTAAAATTATGTTTAGATTTTTAAGAAACCACTGTATTCCAAAGAAACTGTCTCCCAAAGTGGCTATTCCATTTTGCATTCCCATTAGCAATGTATGAGAGCTCCTGTTGCTCCACATCCTCACTGGCATTTGGTGGTGTCAGTGTTCCAGATTTTGGTCATTCTAATAGGTGTGTAAGTGGTTATCACAATTCTGTTTTGGGGTGCCTGTGTGGCTCAGTCATTAAGTGTCTGCCTTCAGCTCAGGTCATGATCCCAGGGTCCTGGGATCAAGCCCGGCGACGGGCTCCCTGCTCTGAGGGAAGCCTGCTTCTCCCTCCCCCACTTCCCCTGCTTGTGTTCCCTCTCTCGCTGTGTCTCTCTCTGTCAAATAAATAAATAAAAATCTTAAAAAAAAAATTCTGTTTTAATTTAATTTCCTTGATGACATATGGAGCATCCTTTTTCATGATTATTTTGTATGCTTATTTGCCATCTGTAAATCTTTGATGAAGTGTCTGTTAAGGTATTTAGTCCATTTTTTAATAAGGTTGTTTATCTTCTTATTATTGAATTTTAGGAGTTCATTGTATATTTTGGATAACAGTCCTTTATCAGATGTATCTTTTGCAAATACTTTCTCCCAGTCTGTAACTTGTCTTCTAATTCTTTGTATTGCCTTTGTAGAGAAGTTTTTAATTTTAATGAAATCAATATATTAATGTTTTCTTTCATGGATCACATCTTTGATGTTATATCTAAAACAATATCACCATACTCAAGTTCATCTAGGCTTTCTCCTACACTATCTTCTGGGAGTTTTGTGTTTTCTATACAGGTCTATGATATAGTTTTAAATATAATTTTCTCCATCACTTCCTTAAGTAGAGATAATCATTTTTGTGAAGGGTATATGGTCTGTGTCTAGATTCATTTCTTTGCCTGTGGGTGTCCAGTTATTCCAGCACCGTTTGTTGAAGAGACTATCTTTGCTTCAATGTATTGCCTTTGCTCCCTTGTCAAAGATCAATTGACCACATTTATGAGGGTCTATTTCTGGGCTCTCTATTCTACTCCATTGATCTATTTGTTTATCTTTTTACCAATACCACACTGTCTTGATTACTGAAACTTTATAGTAAGTCTTGAAATTGGGTAATGTCAGTCCTCTAACTTTGTTTTTCTCCTTCAATATTGTTTGGTTAGTCTGGGTTTTTTCCCTCTCCATATAAACTTTAAAATATATTTGTCAATATCCAAAAAACAAATTGCTGATATTTTGATTGGGATTGAATTGCATCTATATGTCAATTTTGGAAGAACTGACATGTTGACAACATTGAGTCTTCCTATCCATAAACATGGACTATCTCTCTAGCTAGTTCTTCTTTGATTTTATTCATCAGAATTTTTCCTCATATAGATCTTGTATACATTTTGTTAGATTTATACCTAAGTATTTCATTTCTGGGGGACTAAGGTAAATGATAATTGTGTTTTTTATTTCAAATTCCCTTGCTCATCATTGGATATAGGAAAACAATTGACTTTTGTATATTAACCTTGTGTCCTGCAACCTTGCTATAATCAGTTATTAGTTCCAGGAGGTTTTTTGTTTGTTTGTTTTTTGGGGGTTTTTTTGTCAGTATTACAGACTTTCTACATAGATGATCATGCCACCTAAGAACAAAGAGTTATGTCTTCCTCTTTATCTATATCTTTTTTATTTTCTTTTCTTGCTTTATTGCATTAGCTAGGACTTCTAGTATGATGTTGAAAAGTAATGAGAAGAAACATCCTTGCCTTGTTCCTGATCTTAGTGGGAAAGCTTTCTCACCATTAAGTATGGTGTTAGCTATAGGCTTTTTGTAGGTAGTCTTTATCAATAGCTATCAATATAAGTATAAATAGTTCCCTTCTCTTCCTAGTTTACCGAGAGTTTTTAACATGAATTGGTGTTAGAGTTTGTCAAATGTTTTTTCTGTATCTATTGATATGATCATATGATTATTCTTTTTAAATCTGTTTATGTGATGGATTGCATTAATTGATTTTTAAATGTTGGACCAGCCTTGCATAACTAAGATAAATCTCACTTGGTTATAAAAATTCTTTTTATACTTTTTTGGATTAGATTTTCTAATATTTTATAGAGTACTTTTGCACCTATGTTCATGAGAGATATTGGTCTGTAGTTTTCTTGTAATGTCTTTGTCTGGTATTGGTATCAGGATAATGCTGGCTTCATAGAATGAGTTAAGACATATTCTCTCTGCTTCTATCCTCTGAAAAGTCTGTAGAGAACTGATATAATTTCTTCCTTAAATATTTGGTAGAATTTGCCAGTGAACCCATCTGGAACTGGTTCTTTCTGTTTTGGAAGGTTATTTATTATTGATTCAATTTCTTTAATAGGTATAGACCTATTCAGATTATCTATTTCGTCTCATGTGAGTTTTGGCAGATTGTATCTTTCAAGGAATTGGTCCATTTCATCTAGATTGTCAAATTTGTGGGCACAGAGCTACTCATAGTATTCCTTTATTATTCTTTTAATTTCCATGGAAGCTGTAATGATGTCACCTCTTTCATTTCTGATAATAGTAACTTGTGTCTTCTCTCTTTTTTCCTCAGTTAACCTGGCTAGAGGTTTACTGATTTTATTGGTCTTTTTAAAGAACCAGCTTTTGGTTTCATTGATTTTTCTCTATTGATTGCCTATTGTCCATTTCATTGATTTTTGCTCTAAGTCTTATTATTTCTTCTTCTTACTTTGGATTTAATTTGTTCTTCTTTTTCTAAGTTCCCAAGATGGAAACTTAGATTATTGATTTTAGATTTTTCTTCTTTCCTAATATATGCATTCAATTCTATAAATTTCCTTCAAGCACTGCTTTTGCTGCAAGGTTCTTCTTTTTTAAGCCTGTATATTTATATCTCACAGTAAAATGAGATGGCAGAAGAACATGATCTGTAAAGGACAGATACATTTTAAGAAGATCTGTTTTTTAATGACTCATCTGTTTCAAATATTTGGGTTTTTTAACCTTTTAAATTTTCCTCCAACTTTTCATTTTGAAAGTTTTTAAAACTATAGGAAAGCTGTGGGAATATTTAACAATGAACATCTGGATAGCCTTCACTAGATTCCTAAATTATTACCATTTTGCCACATTTGCTTTATCTCTCTGTCCACATGTATAAATATTTTGCCAAACCATTTGAGAATTACTTATAAAGATGGTTCACCTCTAAAAACTTTAGCATGGACATCACCTCACACCTGTCAGAATGGCTAAAATCAACAACGCAAGAAACAACAGGTGTTGGAAAGGATATGGAGAAAGAGGAACCCTCTTGCAATATTGGTGTGAATGCAAACTGGTGCAGCCACTCTGGCAAATACTATGGAATTTCCTCAAAAAGTTAAAAATAGAATTACCCCAAGATCCAGGATTCACACCACTAGGTATTTATCCAAAGAATACAAAAATACTAATTCAAAGGGATGCATGTACTCCAATGTTCAAAGCAACATTATGATACCATAGCCAAATTATGGAAATTGCCCAAGTGCCCATATACTGATGAATGGATAAGAAAGAGATATTACTCAGACATAAAAAATAATGAAATCTTACCATTTGTGATGACATGGATGGAGCCAGAGAGTATTATACTAAGCAAAATATGTCAGAGAAAAACAAATGCCTATGATTTCACTCATATGTGGAATTTAATAAACAAAGCAAATGAACAAAGGAGGGGCAAAAAAAAAAGAGAGAGGCAAACCAAGAAACAAACTCTTAATTATAGAGAACAATCTGATGGTTACCAGAGGAG